ATGCATGTATCATATCTCGAGGGATCAAGCTGGCTTAAAAAAGCAACTAACCCTGTTAAAACAAAATACTAAGGTCAGTTACGTGCAACAGCAGAAATATGACATATCATAAAAATTAAACCCTGCAGAGAGGAGCAAGTCTTTCAGATAAACCCATTACTTCCTTTCTACCATCATTATGCCTTTTAGTGTTCGACAATATTAAGTTTAGATGGCAAAATTGGATAGCTTAAGGGGGACCTTTTGTTTGTTTTAGGATAGTGCATATTTCTGGGCTAAACATCCTTCCAAAGAACTTAAGAATCAACTGGAGCCTCTAAATAAATTTGAAATACTATGCCCAAATAGAGGACTTCCATCATTTTGCTTTCAATATGTTTCTTCCTAACCAAGTTAATTAAAAATAATTAGGTATATTAAGGTTGATGGCCTAGCAGTAGCTATTTAACCTCCCATACCAGCCTCAGTGCACAGGCAGGAGAGTACTTTTGTAAAAACAACAACAACAACAAAACCCCCCAACATCAATAATTCAAGCATTTAAAAACAGATTAACCTAGGAATCCACGAACAAAAATCAAAAACTCACAGCCAAACTTACAGGTCAACCTCAACAGTCAGGGGTGAATCTAAGTGGGAGCTAGTTATAAAAAAAAAAAGATTGACTTAGCCTTCCTCAACCAGATGCCATCAGTTACCAGTGATAATGTTCCAAAGGGTGGATGCTACTGCAGAAAAGGCTCGTCTTCTGGATCCTGTCAGATGGAACTCTTTAGCAGATGGGACCCATAACGTGCCCCTCCTGCTGGACCTTCTGGGACCGGCATATATCACTCGGGAGAGGCGGTCCCAGTTACATTGACCCATCCTATCCTGTCTGGCAGGAAGGACATGTTAAGGACCCTGTCAGCTAGAGAATTTTGACTGGCAAGGACTAGGAGGAGAGCCTTTTCTGCCATTGCCCCTGCCCTGTGGAACATCTTGCCCCGAGGTGAAATTGGCCCCCACTCTTTTGGCCTTCTGGAAGAGCATCAAGACCTGGCTCTGTCAACTGGAATGGGGACCCAATGGGGGTTCGCAGGCCTGGAGGTGGTTGGTGGCTTGAGGATGCTCTCTCCATCTTTTCGCTTTGTATATTTTTGCAAACATTTTTATCATTTTTTAATCACTTTTTACTTGTAAGCCACCTAGAGTCACTTATACTGAGATGGGCGGTGTATAAATTTGATTAGTAAATAAAATAAATAAATAAATAAAATGCACTTTTAAAAGATTTACATTAACTCCATTTATATTATATGCCTACCCAAAGCACTGCGTCAATTTCTCATTACTGCAACCATACCAAGATTGCTGGACCCAACAGTACTAGACAAATTTCATCCTGTCTCCAACCTGCGCTTTCTAGGGAATGTTGATGAAAAGATGGTTGGGTTGCAACTTCAGAGGATTCTGGAGGAAGTGGATTATCTGGATCCCTTTTAATGAAATTTCAGACCTGTAGTAGTACTGAGGTAGGTTGGTAGTGGTGAATCCAGCCTAGTTGTCCTTGATCTCTCAGCAGCTTTTGATACCTTGATTGTGGTGTCCTTCTGGATTACTCAGGGGGCTGGGAGTTGAGGGTACACTGTTGCACTGCTTTTCTTCCCTTCTCTGGGTTTGATTCCAGTCAGTATTGGTAGGGGAAGAGAGGTCTAATCCTAGCCCCCAATTTTGTGAGGTGGCTCAGGGCTCAACATTCACCTTACTCCTATTTAACATCTACACAAAGCCACTGGGTGTGATGGACTGGAATGGAGGAAGGGGGGTGAAAACGGTGCTCTCGTCTCCAGAGCAAT